TTTCTCCATTTATACACAATATATGTTCACATTTCATCAACTATGCACTTGTTTTTCATTAATGCATAAACAACAATCAACAATTAGATGCATATTATCATTAAAACTATTATTTTTTAAATTATTTATTTATTACGTTGTTTAGTAGTTCTAATAAAAATACTAAAGTTCTCTTTGTTTTAATTATTTGGCTCATTTTTGAGGAGAATGTTGCACATTTTATACAGTCTGTCTTTACCACATAGCCCAAATATGGAATGCATTTTGTGATTCAACTGCGGAATACAATTGATTCTACTAATCCTAACATTTACAGGCATGTAGAGCACATTAAAGATTTTACAATTATGACTCTATTTCTCCAACATGAATCCACTTGATAATCAAACAATAGAAGATATTGTTCCTTTGAAGCTCTGTGTCTTCTAACCAGGTTTCCACTGTGCTCCTGCAGCAAACAAAGTGTCTCAAAGCATTTCATTCTTTAGAAAACATGCTTTAATATAAACGTCCTTTAGGCTGCAACATGTTTCTTTCAGTCTGAAAGACAAGAAGAGATGTTCAACAGTCAGAAGAGCCCACATACAGTAGATCCCTTTGCAAGAGTCAGTAATATCAAAAAACAAAACACAAAAAGAATACAGAATAATGTCAAAATGTTTTAAATCATATAGGCGAAAATCAAAGCCTCTGAACAAACACATGCAGATGATGAACTCCAGATTTGTGGCTGTCAAGGACAGTTTTGATGAGCTCTTATCATGGTCTTGATCTTTAAAATCATGTTTTCGAACCGTGGATATCATTTCTTTGTTGCAGAATGGATTCAATGACCGATTTTGATTCAAGGCGAGTTCAGCTGGAAGCAAATATTTAAGAGTAAATAGCCATTTTCATGGTTATTATAACAAAATAAAACCCAACAGGCAAATCAGGATCCTGAAACCTGACTGTACATTATTTCTCATATTACATGGCTACTTACCAATGAAATAAAAACATATATATACATCTGCATGACACTGAATGGAGTTTCTTTTCTTAATTAGCTAATGACACTAATTCTTCAAATATATACCAGTCAAAGCTGTATTTATTTAATGAAAAATGCAGTAAAAACAGTAATATTGTGTAAACATTTTTGCAATGTCAAAAAGCTATGTTCTATGTGAATATATAGTAAAATATAATTTATTTATGTGATGAAATAAAGCAATAAGCCCTGTGAAGCCGGCCGTTACAGTGAATTTATAACAGCTAAGGGGCGTTGTTAGGCACGACGCGAAGCTGTTATAAATAACTTAGCTGTTATAAATTCACTGTAAACCACGGCTTCACGGGGCTTATTGCTTTTATAAAACGGTTATTCCATATACGTAGTAAGGTTTCACAAAATAAAACAGAGCAAATAAAGGGTAATGATATTAATAAAATCAGTATTCTTCCCCCAAACTGAACAAACACATGCAGATGATGAACTCCAGATTTGTGGCTGTCAAGGACAGTTTTGATGAGCTCTTATCATGGTCTTGATCTTTAAAATCATGTTTTCGAACCGTGGATATCATTTCTTTGTTGCAGAATGGATTCAATGACCGATTTTGATTCAAGGCGAGTTCAGCTGGAAGCAAATATTTAAGAGTAAATAGCCATTTTCATGGTTATTATAACAAAATAAAACCCAACAGGCATATCAGGATCCTGAAACCTGACTGTACATTATTTCTCATATTACATGGCTACTTACCAATGAAATAAAAACATATATATACATCTGCATGACACTGAATGGAGTTTATTTTCTTAATTAGCTAATGACACTAATTCTTCAAATATATACCAGTCAAAAGTTAGTAATCTTTATTGTTTTTGAAAGAAGTCTCTTCTGCTCACCAAAGCTGTATTTATTTCATGAAAAATGCAGTAAAAACAGTAATATTGTGTAAACATTTTTGCAATGTCAAAAAGCTATGTTCTATGTGAATATATAGTAAAATATAATTTATTTATGTGATGAAATAAAGCAATAAGCCCTGTGAAGCCGTGGTTTACAGTGAATTTATAACAGCTAAGGGGCGTTGTTAGGCACGACGCGAAGCTGTTATAAATAACTTAGCTGTTATAAATTCACTGTAAACCACGGCTTCACGGGGCTTATTGCTTTTATAAAACGGTTATTCCATATACGTAGTAAGGTTTCACAAAATAAAACAGAGCAAATAAAGTGTAATGATATTAATAAAAACAGTATTCTTCCACCAAACAATGTAGTTCCTCAGAAACAGTTGTGGTTGCAACAAAGTGGTTGCCGAGCAACACACAAATGTAAACAAAGGTGTATGTTTGTAGAGTAATTTACAACAGCTTTGAACGCGGCTCAGCCAATCAGAATCAAGGACCGGAACGCTCCGTTTTATAAGCTGTATTTTCTGCAGCATTACTCCAGTCTTCAGTGTCACATGATCTTCAGAAATCATTCTAATATGCTGATTTGCTGCTCGAGAAACATTTCTGATTATTATTATGTTCAAAGCACACTGACACCAAATCAGCATATTAGAATCACAAAAATAAATTGCATTTGAAAATATATTAAAATAGAAAACATCTGTTTGGATTTTTTGATTAAATAAACGCAGCATTAATTCAAATAAAAGGCTTGTTTTAAATGAAATGTAAATACTGTATGTGATGCAAATGCCCAATGAGAGTAAATTATCCCAGAGAGCTGAGTAATAATGGTGCATTATAGTATTTACAGGATTATATAATCGGTTGAGATCATCCTTGCTTATCCTGTGGTCTTTACATGAACATGAATATAACATCCTCCACATGTGAACGACATGCTGTGAGCCACACGCACTGCCCCTGAAAGAGCACCTGGATATTGTGCTGTCAGGCCTGAGGTCAGACGAGTCAACACAAGGGGTTTAAAAAATCTTCAAATTTACTATAAAGAAAACGTACCCCAAAACGAGACGGATCATTCCACACGGATGGGCAGCTTTATGTTCCCTAAGGCACATTGTGGTGTGGTGTGATGGGCACCTATGTCTCCACTGACTCCGGAGCCAAGCACACAAACGGAGTTAAACACGACACCGGGCTGTGCCACATTTCTGAGATCCAACCACGGCCAGAAAAAGACCACAGCCCTGCTGCCAAACTCCTGAAGGAAATTACAGGGGCAAAGAGACACTATTCAAGCCTTCAGTCGGCTTCAGCACAGAGCAACAAATCTGAGCCTGATGAATTTAAGATTTAAAGACAGCCTTTAATTCCTTAACCCAAAATATTTCAACAAAATATGAAATCATTTGGGCGTAAATATATGTGCATCCTTCATGTATGGGCCAAGAAAACCTTTTTTTTTTCATTGGTTTACTTAATCTCATCACATCATTATTAACTATTATTCCCATTCTATATTCATTAATGTGTTTGCCAAGTAAAGACCCCGAGGCAACATCATGCAACAGAGGGTTTATACTACACTACATCATCGCTGAACCAAAACCACACAAAACGAGTTCACCCATGATTTGATAATACAGAGCGACTGCATGCTAAATGTGTTTTAACCTCTGAACCTGAAGCGCTCCTCCACGGTCTGCTTAATCGCGCTGAAACTGAAGTCACGTCTCAGTTCAGAGATCCAGCAGACCGTTAGTAACTGTGTGGACCATCAACAGGCCACAAAAAAGACTTTTGGGCTTTGGAAAAAATGAGCTTTGATTGAATTAATGAGGTGGCATATATCTGTAACCCACAGAAGAGGAGATTCGGGATCATTCATGCTCTAATATTATCTTGCACGTGATCACTAAAATATGAACTCGGACTGAAGCTGACAGGACTAATGTTACTTTTAACAACACAAGAGACTGTGTTGAAAACACCCAATTAAATGAGAGAGCAGTGGGTTTGTGGACTCTGTAATTGGTTGGTATTATGATTGACTAAAGCAGGACAAAAACTGAAAAGTGATGTTTTTTTGTTTTTTTTGTTAAAACACTTATCCTATACATGTTTAATGTGCAGAGACTATCATATATACAGTATATATATATATATATATATATTGAATAAGAAAACTAGTAGATATAATAGAAAAATAGTGAATGCTAGTGTTAGAGGGTCAAGTTTTTTATAATAAATAAAAGAAAACGAGTAGCTTAGATAAAAATAGAAATAGAACAGAGTGTGCTACAAAATTGATCATTCACAAAATGATGGATAATAATGCACTGAATGTATTTTTGCTTTGTTTTTATTCACTTTATGAAGATGCTGTAAATTGAATCATTATACTGTACATTTTGTCATATTACTATGCATTTAATTCCATGCATGCAACTTAGATATTGTTTTCGGTTTACAATCCTAATTATTTCATTAATTTTGACAAATTTACTCTTAAATATAGACCCTGCATCCATTGCATCTGACATCTTTCAACTCAGAAAAGTTGCACACTTAACACTTTATGGCGTCGCTTCCGTGCGTTCCACTCAATCAAATGCAATATTTCTGACTCGACTAGAATGCACCAACACATTCTCACACTTGCAGCTAATATATGTCGTCATGCATCATATATTGGTCCTATATTGCCCCAAAATAGAGCAAAACAATGTTGACTCCACCAGAAGAGGCAGAAGTGGAGAGAAGTGGGCAGAAGCAGAGTGAACTCATGGTAAATGCGTCGACCACCATCTGTCTGATTTAGTGAGAACTGACACCCGCAAACATGCACACTTAGTTGAGTCCTATCCGGAGACACGTGTCCCATGGATTTGGTTGATCATGTGAATCAACAGTTGACAGATGCTGTGTAATGCTGGCTTACATAACCAAGCAAACTGTAACCAACCACTTCTGACGAATAAACTGACCCATTATTTGGTTCAGCCACAAAACAGATCTATATAGTGCTAATAAAATATAAATCGATAGGCTGCCTTTAGATGCACTCAAAGGGGCCGTTTTTGGAGGAAGGAGACAGAAGGTTGTTGCTTGCATACTACATACTGTGCTAAGTGCAGACGGGTGAGGGATCAAGAGTTCAGGCTGTGTTCTTGCAGACTACGGGGTCTAAAAGGCACAGGCGCACACCACCGCTACCACCACAATGTTGCCAATGGTTGCGATGACGGCCACCCACAGCCAGATGGCGTCGCTGGAGAACTTGCCCTCCTCTTCTTGCTCGGCTGGTCTGGAGAAGCTGGTGTTGAGGTTGGAGGTGGACGTCTGAAGAGACGAGTTGCCATTGTATGGAGAATCCATGAAGGCCCCGCTGACTGCTTGCAAATGCTGTAAAAAAAGGAAAAAAAAAAACTCTTTGTAGTGGAGCAAAGGTTAATGTAATTATTCTCAGTCTGTGGGTACGTTTACACTAAAACAATGTAAAGGCAAAAGCGTTTTTCACATACAGACAACAACATTGTCATAATGATCCACGAAAACATCTTAAAGCGCTGTATTAGGTATGTCAGGCCAGTAGTTGGCCATGTCACTTTGTAAAGAAACACTACGCGAACATGTAAATCAGTGACAATCAGTGTTGGGTAAGTTACTCTTAAAAAGTCATTAATTACTAGCTACTGATTAATACATCTTCAACAGTGTAATTAGATTAATGTGCTCTAAAAAGCATTGCATTACTTCTTACTAATTACTTTCTAAACTCCAAATCAACCTCAACCAGTTGAACATGACACACAACTTTTAATTAATTCTCAAATTAATTCTGCTTTTAATTCTTCCAATTAAATAATATAAAATTGCATAAATTATTCTTGAACTGACCAAAGTATTTAAATGAAGAAGGTTACATAAAAAAACCCTACATTTTAACACTAGATGTTGCATTTTAATGTTAAATCCACTATTGTTTTATATAGAATTGTTTTATAGTCTATACAGTATTTAATGCCGGTACATCACTGTAATTAAATATATATAAAACACATATTCTGCATGGGCATATTCTGCATCACTAATCCTGCCCAATACCTAAACTTAACAACTACCTTGCTAACTATTAATAAACAGCTAATTAGGAATGTATTGAGGCAAAAGTCACATTTACTGGTTTGTTAAGACATTTACGAGATTTGGACCTTAAAATAAAGTGTGACCAAAAATGGTTAAAAAAGGTAAAAAAGTAAAAAATCCCAATTAAAAAAAAAAGTGAAAAAGTTGAAATCTCAATTAATAAAACTCTCCAAGTAATAATTCAAAACAAATAATTTTATGAAAATAAAATTATTTGCTAACTGCATTTCACATCAACTTTTATAGTTATGAAGCATCTTGGATAACATTCTCAAAAGCTTGACTTTCCTGCTCTGAGCTTTTTGATAACGGCACCTGGCTAAAAAATAAAAACCTTCCCCATTAATCATGTAATGTTCTGATGGCTCCCATCTGGCGTATGAGGTCATCAGTCTGGAGGTGTACAGGTGCATTCTGGGTAATGATGATCATTTTGTTCTGTTGCTCTTCGTCACCTCATTGCTCCTCTATCTACACAATGACAAGCTCCATTCATCAGATCCAGACACAATCACCGCTCGTCATCTGACCTCAGAACAGCTGTTTGAAGGTTGGAGAAGAACTGCTTCATATGGTGTCTAAGGAAATCACACTGGTTAGATGTTTCACCGTTTTGTTTGACACCCATGGTTTAGCCTGTATTAATTACGTCTTGAAATAATTGAATGTGTAATGAGCTTGAAAAAGGAAAATTGTTGACATTGGTGTTTGTGAAGGTTCAAAGAGGACATTTTCAGACAGGGTTATTAACTAAAGAAAAATAAAATAAAATCATCACTTGAAATTAAATGTTAACTGAAAATTATGGAAGCTTGTTTCCACCACAGGTTTATAAAAAAAAAAATATATAAATAAATAAAATAAAATAAAATAAAATAAAATTTAATTTAATAAAAAAATAAAAAAATAAAAAATAAAAAGGTATTTGCGACGTCACAATTAAATATAAAAAATATAAACTGAAAAAAACAATTCTGAGAATTGTAAGAAAGTCACAATTACCTTTTTATGTATTTCTTCCATGGTGGAAATGGGCTTCAATAGAAAAGAAAACATGTAAACATGCAAACTTACTATACTGCTGCTATTGCCAAGGCAACATCTCATTTTTGTTTAGTTTAATGTGAATAAAAAAAAGAAAACACTTAAACAAATAAATACAAAAATAATAAAAACTACAGACATTAAAATATTCTAAAACTAACTAAAACTAAAAAAAGTGAAAACAGAAAATGTAAAAATAATTTCAAAATATTTTAATTCTAATATTCGAATTCAATATATTAACAAAAAGGTATATCAATTATACTAAACTTAACACTGGTAACAGATTAATAAAAAATAAAAATGTGGGGCGGGACTTTTACTTCAAATGCATGGGTTATTTTGAGATGTGGGCGTGACCCAGAGGTGTATGCAGATGAGCGTGGGCTTTTAGGGGCGGAGTTTAACATGCATTTTTTTCATGCTGACTTCAAAACTAAACATAAATTTCAGATCTGCTCCATGTGGATAAAACGTGAGTTAGAACGCTCTTATTATTAATAATGTGTCACTTTAAATCTAATTTCAAGTGATATATAGCCTAGTTTTCCCTCATTATCTGAATACGGCTCATTAGCTGCATACTGCTACTCAAGTCTTAATATGATTAGATTAAGAGCCAAAAAAAAGACATTCAAAGTTCGATTCAGGTCAATGGAATATTATATGCATTAAATATATTAAGAGTACAGAGACTGAAAGGCAGCAATAAATCCTGTTTGTCCACGCATGCACACACAGAAAACACATCTGCCTACTAGTGAGCGACTAGTGTTGTTTGTGCTGTTATCAGCGGTTATCATGCTCTAATGAGGCGTCTTCTCCGTGTAAACATGCGTTTGCTGATTTTATCTATCTATCCATCCATCCATCCATCACACATTGTGGTTAAACGTAGTTTAAAAAAGAAATACAATTCTAGTGTGGCCCAAATTTCATTCCCCTTTAGCAATTAAAATCTGTTACTCTTGCAAAAATACACATTTTATCGGTTTATTTTATTTATTTATTTTTTTTCAAAATTTACAATATTCACACAGATTTGAAATTAAAGACAGCTATTTATATATTCGCATTGTCATGCTGAGTGCAGCAGCTGACAGGTTTCTGTACGCTCATTCTGAGAGGAAGAACAGCTGTAAAGCCTCCGTCATATAAACTCTACATCACGCTTCAGAAATATACCAGCTTACCTCAGAGATCACCAGAGGAAACACACACACACTTCATTAATCCACCGCTCTTCATAACACAAACCAGAAAGAAACACATCAGTTTAACCACGCAGTGCCTGCTCTCCTTGATCTGCTTGAGTTTACAGTGAAGATCTCAACTACACCAAACCAATCTCTAATGCTGGCTGTAATTCAGAGCCATCCAGAAATGCAAGTTTAAATTATTTTTTTAATTTTTTTTTTTTACATATTTTTACATTTTATCTATCTATCCATCCATCCATCCATCACACATTGTGGTTAAACGTAGTTTAAAAAACGCTGGCTGTAATTCAGAGCCATCCAGTAATGCAAGTTTAAATACATTTTTTTATTATTATAATTTTTTTTTTTTACATATTTTTACATTTTAGCTATCTATCCATCCATCCATCCATCACACATTGTGGTTAAACTTAGTTTAAAAAAGAAATACAATTCTAGTGTGGCCCAAATTTCATTCACCTTTAGCAATTAAAATCTGTTACTCCTGCAAAAATACCCATTTTATCGGTTTATTTTTTATTTATTTTTTTTCAAAATGTACAATATTCACACAGATTTGAAATTAAAGACAGCTATTTATATATTCGCATTGTCATTGTCATTTTTTTTTTTTTACTAAACCTCAAACTCTTATTTCCCACATGATATTAAAAGGACCATAACCATATCTGATGAGAATAATTCATGACTGACTTTGCACTGCTTGTTTTAGAATCAACACAAGCCTTGTAATATGTATATTTAATAAATCAGGCCTTTTAAAATGAGACTGGTCGCTCTTCCAAAGTTTCTTGCTTTCCTCTCATCTCAGGACTCAAGCTGAGGCGCGTTTCCAGTGAAATGATTACTTCATTACTTCCAGCCCATTGCAAAGCAAACTAAAGGAGCGCAAAGCAAAACATATAAAGTAAAACAGCCAATGTGTGAGAGCAGAACAAGGTAAAATGACATAATAACATGAGGTGCAAATTATAAATAAATTATAATAATAATAATTATTATTATTATTATTATTAGTATTTTTATTATTGTTGTTGTTGTTATTCTTATATGTATATGAATAACACAAATAACATATTATTTTACTGTTATTTACTTAATTAAATATAGAAATATAGATATAGAAATATAATAATAGAAATATACATATAAATAAGTATAAATACATTACATATCTCTCTTTGGGAACATGCTGTTTAAATCTAAATCAGTTTTCTACAGCCGCAAATTAAATTCAATTTACTGCTGAACTTCATTTTATTAATAACAATCCAGCTATCAAACCACTATCTGTAATAAAAGCTTTATATCACACCAAAACTGGATGTGCAAATATCACAAGAACAAAGACACATACAATTCATGAAATCTGTTGCTATCAGAGCAGTTAAAGCACAATATAGAGACAGAAATACAGAAACAGAAAAGACTATCAGCAGGGGAAGAGGAAATGAAAGAAATACAGAAAAAGTTAAACGAGTATCTCTAGGTTTCTGCTCCTGAGTTGATTGATGGAAAAAGTGTGTTTATAAGAGTCCTGTCGCTCACACGTGTGTGTGTGTGTGTGTGTGTGAGTGTTAGTTAAAAGTACAAAACATTTCACTTCAACACTGTTAGAAAACAAACAAGTACTTGTATAAGTCAGCGCATGGAAGCAACCCGGTACGTCACTTGAACATGACATTGAACTGATACTGTGGAGACTCTTAGGATGGCCAAAAAGAGGGCTAAACGGCTAGCAAAGTACTGTGCTTTGTCCTCTATCATAGGCAGCCGTCATATATGGCGGAGACGCTGTTATTTATACCATAAATTGTTAAAATGTGTGTGAGTGTGTGTGTGTGTGTGTGTGTGTGTGTGTGTGAGTGTGAGTGTGTGTGTGTGTGTGAGTGTGAGTGTGTGTGTGTGTGTGAGTGTGAGTGTGTGTGTGTGTGTGAGTGTGAGTGTGTGTGTGTGTGTGAGTGTGTGTGTGTTAGAGAGAGCGAGAGATCTAGCTGCTGGATTACAGTCGGTCTCCACTGATCCGCTGGCTTTTACTCTCAAAGCAAATCAGACCAATCTCACTTATTCAGATACAGAAACAACATTCCAAACAGCCAAATATCTCTGCTGCTGTCCATCAGTCCTCTTGTTTTCTCATGTGTCTGTGTGTTTAAATGCTTGTATGTGATCAGTAACGCACACGCGTGTGTTTAATCTGAACAAAAACATTAAGCCTTTGAAGCTCTTCATCAGATTGGATCATGGATAATGACGGAGAGCATCTGGCCATGATCTCGTCTATGGCAACTTCTAATTGTAACATTATGTGTAACATTTTTTGTGTGTGAAACCAGTGTTATTTTATATACTATTATAGTATCTATTGCTATTTAGAATTTGCTTTTGCATTTTCAGTTTTCATGTAGGTTTGTGTGTTAATTATTTTGTAAAGTTCTTAAGTTCCTATTTAGCTTTAATTTACATTTATTTCAACATTTAATGATTTTATTTCAGTTATTTGCCAGCTTTTCTAATTTGTATGTTTTATGTTAGCTTTATTTCAATTAACAAAAACAGATTTTAATAGTTTTAGTTGTTATTTAGTTGTTTTACATTGTGAAACAATCTTTTTTTTTTAATGGTTAAGGATATAAAACCTCACACAACTGCACTGTGAAAATATATTTCATACGTTCTCGAAGTGGCTTATCTCTACTGTTTTAAATATATCATCCACACTACTATAATGGATTTCGGCATGATGAAATGTGTATAATGGAGTTGAGAGTATGAACAACAAACAGCCAACAGCAAGGAACTGAAAGACAGATTGCATGTGTATCCATTCATCTGAGGTCAATCTTGTACATCATTTTTAATGCAACCCTTGTTCTGTTTGTTTCTAAAGCTCATCTTTCTTTCCTCTTAGTTTGTAAACTGGCTCAGATTCGCTCTAATGCTGATTGGATCTCATGAGAAGCTCATCAAGTGTCATCCATCTCTGTAATCCAGTTCTGTGGCACAACAAGAGTATTTTCCATTAAGACCACAATGCACTCAGATTGCAAGAGGGAATAAACTAAACATGAAAAATCAATCCATCTGGTCTGACATTCACATTACAGAAAATATTAGCCTCGAGTGAATCATGTTACTCTGAGCTGCACAGACATCTGACTGATGCACAACATCCACATTAACTGCACAACTTTAAACATAGTGCACACATACACACAATACAGAGGTACTGTATTCTGAAATCCTATGAGTAGATCTTCTAACTTGCTTAAAGGAATACTTCACCCAGAAATGAAAATCTGCTGAATATGTGCTCACCCTCAGGTCATCCAAGATTAGGATGAGTTTGTTTCTTCATCAGATTTGGAGAAATGTAGCATTGCATCAGTGTCTCAGCAACATCCATTGCTGAGAAACTGACGCAATGCTACATTTCTACAAATCTGATGAAGAAACAAACTCATCTACATCTTGGATGGCCTGAGGGTGAGCACATTCACAAACTTTCATTTTGGGGTGAACTATTCCTTTAAATCCTGATACTTTCCTTTCTTATTTCTGTGACAACTCTGGCGATTGTGGGATTTCTCACTTTCAGTAACATTCCTGTCAAGTTTCAAACACATTTTCTTGTATTGCTCATTGTTAATGTTTGTTAATTAACATTAGTTCATTACAAATAAGATTAATTGATATTCTAAATACTAAAAATGGCTTTATTTCATATTAACATAGATGCTTTATAACTTTTCCCTTCTGACACTTGTTTTGATCAAGTTTTGGCATCATTTTTCAGTATTTCATGAATTAGCATCAGAAACTGACACCCACTGCAAATGCACCATAATACGTGTCATCTAGTAATGAAGCTTCTGTAAATAGAATAACACTCAGTGACATGTATTAGCATTATCCTCTCTGGATGAAGGCTGCTGCCTCATCCGTGCAGGACGACAGACCCTAAACCCTTCCTACACCGTCGAGTTGCTTGAGAAACTCTGAAATGCCTTTCATGTAAACTTGAAGGAGTGTGACTTCCAAAGGGCTGAGCGATGTTCAAGGCCTTGAACCGTACATTACATACGAATAGAAAACACTGCTCTATAGCTTCACTCGCGATTGAAGAAATCCCTAACCTCACATTACCTACTTACTGAGATTGTTGACTGTCGATTTTAAACTGTGAACAAGCCTCCAAAAAATGCTTTGGTAACACTTTATAAAAACGTGTCAAAAATAAATAAGGGACATTAAATATTGATACGAGTTGAAATTATTTATTATGTGAGGAACAGACCACATCAGTCAAAGTCACAGTTTAGCCTCATTATACAAAAATAACGGACCAATCAGAATCAAGTATTCCTGAGAGTCATGCAGTAAAATCTAATTAAGTTTATGTTTATGTAATGAAGGTTTTTATAAAGTGTTACCAATGTTTCATGCTGTTTTAGGAACTTGGATGAAACTGCATAAATGAGCACACATGGCTGTCTATGGTCACGTATTAGCATCTGTGATCAGGACTGCGTGAGTTTGGGAACAGATGTGACTGGTGGCCACTTTACATTTCTAATTAGCATTCTGTCACTTGATAATAAAGGGCCTAAAGAAAAAAACAGGTTATTAATCAGCTGTCGTCACCAGATGCTTCACTATAGGACACTCGTTGAGACTGTACTGCACTACTAAAGACAAAAGTCTAAATTTCTTTTCAGTTCTTTTTGAATTGGAAAAAAAAAAGATTAACTAAAATTAACTAATTACATTTAATTTACTTCCTCTGTAAAATCATTGCATAGCAAATGTTTAATGCATAATGCAGTCTGCCACTATACAGTATTCTATTTACATGCACTGCTTAATGGATGCTCTGCAGTGAATGGGTGCCGTCAAAAAAAAAAACATCACAATACATTCCGCAATACTCGAGTCACTCATTTAACGTGTTTGTAAGAAACAAATCCATCATTAAGGCATTTTAACTTTAAGGAATTGCTTCTGGCCAAAATATGAGTCCATAATACATAATAACACCTCCTCCAGTGAAAAAATCCATCTCCTGTTGTCTCTCACATCACTTGAAAATGATGCTTGATCTGTGCATATTTCTCTCCAGATTCAGACCAGACACATTTTTGTCACTGGAAAAAGTGACTGGAGTGCTGTGGATTATTGTGATGTTTTTATCAGCTGTTTGGACTCTCATTCTGACGGCACCCATTCACTGCAGAGCATCCATTTGTAGTGATGGAATGCTACATTTCTCCAAATCAGTTCAGATTATTATTATTTTTTTTACATGATTATTAAATTTTTTTAAATCTACCATGTGCTATTACACAAAGTTTGGAAGTATTTCTTTGCTAAACAAGTTTCAGAGATAACATAAAAATGCCTTGTAACTTTCACTTAGAATATTGTGTTAAGTGTTGTTAAAACAGTCTACTCGAACATCAGCTAGAAGTAGTTACACACTGCACTGAAAAACACATTATAACCAAGTCCAGCATTGTTGCAATACACATTATTTTTTTTTTTTACATGATTATTAAATGTTTTTAAATCTACCATGTGCTATTACACAAAGTTTGGAAGTATTTCTTTGCTAAACAAGTTTCAGAGATAACATAAAAATGCCTTGTAACTTTCACTTAGAATATTGTGTTAAGTGTTGTTAAAACAGTCTACTCGAACATCAGCTAGAAGTAGTTACACACTGCACTGAAAAACACATTATAACCAAGTCCAGCATTGTTGCAATACACTATTCTATGGTAATCTGTGAGTCCACAAACTAGCCTCAATTATATGTATTAAAACATGATTTAATGATAAAAATGTCGCAGTACTGTAAGTCCTACCTGTGCTGCCATCAGTGATAGCTCCATGCTCGTCTGCTCCTGCCCGCTGATAATGAGATGAACTCGCGTCTCTCTGTCTCTCTCTCTCTCTCTCTCTCTGTTGTATGCTGCTGAATTCAGCTGCAGGCGTGCACGCCATCCTCACAGAATTATGCTTTTTTTTTGACGGTCAAACACACTGACACTTAAACTGCCTGCTACCACTTCACAACTTTTGGCCTGTAGACAGAGCTTTTATCAAGCAAATGAATGAATTAATGTTGGAGCTACTTTCATCAACATATCTAAATCAACAGCCAATTTATGAAACCAAATGACATTTACATTTGCTTTAATTACGCAGATGTACATAAATGATAACCTCTTTTCATACCTTGAAATACAAGTTTTGTTAATTAATGAGGCAATTATAATCTGATCACCAACGCAACACCCGCCAGTTCGGTAACAATATCATCATATGACCAAATAAAACATTACAAAAACTCCCATTCAAACGTAATGGAGCTCTATCATATTATATATGGCCTTTTAGTCTTGTTTTGAGGTATTTTATTAATTTCACAGATATTTTGAAAATATGCTTCTTCACATGTTCCCTTAACCTCAAGCAGGTTTGATGACTCACTTTTTGGCTTGCTTAAATTACATCTAATTGTGATTGTTTATAAGGTTTTTGTAGGAGGCATTTTGGACGTAAATTACGGTAATTGTGCGTTATTGTGAAGCTGTCGCACATGACAGAAAAATACAAATATAGCCCCTTATTTTAACATTATGTGCTTCTGAGTCATGAATAGGTAAACTGATGTAAACATATTATAGGTGTGTATATTATGCATTATACATATTATGTATGTATTTTATTATGTATTATAGGTATTTTGTGTCACAATCATTTACCAGATTTTGTCTTACCTGAAACCCCTGAACAATTTGAATAACAAAAGTGACAATTCTCAAAATGATAAATATATATAAATTATAATAACTGAAAATACTTAAGCAATGTTTGAAAACAATTATTAAAAAGATCCCTTTTTCATCTCATCATGATGTGTCATCCAAGTTGACATTTCTATTGAATTATTTACATTGTGAATGTCCTATTTTCCTCTTTAAGTGCCAGAACATCACATTACGAAATCTTGAATGCATACCATATTACAAATTATTGAATACATTTCCAAATCTTTTAAACAGTCTTCACTAAATAGATATTCAAACTCACTGTTAGAAGTCCTACATGTCATGCTAAAAACATTTAACGGTACGGCGAGGAATAGAAATACTTCAATATGGGACATAATACTGTTATGAAAAATTATGTAAGATGTGCAGTGATGCTTTTATTTGATGAAATAAAGCGTCTTCTGGGCTAGAAGGAACTATTAGTACTTTTGAGGCAATCTGTCATTCATAGACATCTTATTGCTCCAGGCCTGAAATCACTTCAAACTGTTAAAAATTATTAACCTTCTGGCTGAAGCTATTTTTACACATTTGCTTTATTAAGTGATAACAAAGGCTGAGGAGCTGCTTGCGGCTGATGGGAGCAGATGCCTCATGCGGACACACAATGAGTGTTGAGAGAAAACTCACATCTCTCGCCCCAAAACAATGTAAAAAGCAGAGTATCATTTGAACAGAAGCTTCAGACTTTAGTCACACTTTATTGGTTAACTTAATGGCTTAAGCACTAGAGGGCTGTAACTCCATACAGTGTCTCTGAACTAATGCATGCTGGATAAATGATAGGCAAGCAATGGATGGTTAAAAATCCCAGTCCTAAATCACGTTAAACTTCAAAATCTAACAATACAACAGATTCTGCATTATATAACATAACAGTGCAAGCTCAGATTTGCAGAACTAAGCCAAAGTATGTTTTCTCTGGTGTGCCCATACACGCTCATTGTCTCATAGTGCCGGTCTCCTGTGCTGTGCTTCACTTTAGTGTTCATTCAGACGTCGTGTCATGTCACACAGTTTTAATCTTGCGCTCGGCGGCTCTGGTTTAGAGCGGACAGTACAGCGGTCGCTTCAGGCGCTGGTGTGTGTTCTGATCACGCATGAGGAGACCCGATGTAATGTGTGCATGTGTGTGTGACAGAGATAATGAGAGAGAAAGACTGTTTTTTATGGATGTTTCTATATGTGTGTGTGTGTGTGTGTGTGGCTACTAATCCTCACTGGTTCAAGTTGCTGCCAATCCTCCAAGACCCTACTGTCAACGTTTTACTTGCCTGACATCTTCATCAATATTTCTGACACACACACACACTCTCACACACACACACACACACACACACACACA